TAATTAAGCTTTACTAATCTAAGTTTGTTATGTTATGTGTACACTCTTTTACAAAAATAATTAAGCACAATGCTAACATTACATTTTAATATCTCTTATTAGATAAAATTCTGAAGTTCCTAAATAGCAGGTGTATTTAAGATACAGTGAAATTTATTTTGTGTACATGAATTTTTGAGTTTAACATATTCTTTTTTAACATAAATGTTATTGTAAAAAGACATAATTGCATAGAATCATAATTTATAGGTGAATTAAATAACAATATATATTCACTGCATTGCACTCACATATTATTATGGTTAAACATACTCAATTAAGGTTTTAAAATTTTAATTGGCGCTAAATGATTAGAATATAAGCATTAAATATTAAATATTTTTCGTTATTTCAAATAACTATTCCTTATAAACGTAAGAAGCATGTATGTATGTTTATAACAATTAAATATGCTTTAAAAAAAGTTTTGTTGTCTTCTTTCCTGAACATATTACTGCTAGTTATATGGTATAAGCATCAATTATATACGTTTCCTTTTATGTATCTGTGCAATTTCTTGTTTCTATATGTACATTACTATTCTCGGAGCCTTGCTAATCGCTGTGTGAGTTCGTCTTGTTCTTGACTGACAGTAGAGGTACCTATACTACCTAAATTTCCGGATGGCAATTCCATATTCAGTTCCAAACTGTAAAATACATGATATTTAATGGTTAAATAGAAGGTATAGTAATTGAATTATGAATAAATTAAATTTATCATAAATGAATAACTTAAAATGGATAAAATATTCACCCAGCTTCATCTGCAACTTGCTGTAATAATGATTCAACATCATTCTGTGGTACACTAGTAGTTGTAGTTTGGGACATTGCATTTTCCATGTATGAACTTTGAACATCCAGATCTTCAAATTGACTTTCAAATTTGTCCATTAAACCTAAACGTAAATTAACAATTTAATTGTTTTTAATTTAATTAATTAATAAAATTTTTATATGATTAATGTCTTTCTTGCTACCTGAAATTTTTTCCAAGTTCATCGACTTCATTGCAGCATCCATTGCCTTCACCACTCCAGCCATTGATTGAGTAACTTTGCGTGTAGTAAGAGCAGTTTGCACTCTACTAGCCACTGCGTCAACCCTTGCACTCATACGCAAATAATTTAATGCTTGATTGTGCTGACGAATTGCATTTTCTGCATGAATACGAGCACCCTCCATATTGCCCTTTTGAATGGCTTTTTTTATTTTAGCCTTTTCCACTTTTTCTTCTTTCTCACATTTCTTTGAATTCCTTTCTAACTCTTTTACAGCAAATTTAAGATTAAATAGGTTTTCTACAGAACAGTTTAGGAAAACATTTATGATATTTGTAAGGTGATATTATAATAAATGTATAGTTCTGCAGCAATATTTGAAAATATTAATGCAAAGAAAATAGAACAAAAATCACAAACAAATTTATAAACGATTTGAATGACTAGCTTGCTTATACCTAACATAACCTTATTCCAAAATGAAAACTGTCAAAAATTGTTGACAATTATATGAAAGAAATTACAATTTTGTTGTGTAAAACATTTAATTGACATTCTGAAAAAATTGCCAACTCTAAAAACAGAACTTATTATTTGAATTATCTTCAAAAATATGAATGTAAATAATGAAATATATAATCCGTTTTAGATTATTTAGTTATACTAGACAAGTTGATTATAAACGAGATTATATTCGATAAAAATTGTTATACAAAAAGAAACATATAATTAGTAAATGTTATTTTAAATTACTCACATTAAATTTAAATCAATGTATACAAATAATACAAAATATTTAGAAAAAAAGGATACTTTCCATCTGAGAGACGGACATGGCTGACTGTTCGGCCCCCGTTGTGACGAAATTAATGTAATTAGTGTTTAAAGCAATAGGATGATTTCTTTCTTAAAAAATAGATCCGTTCAATACTTGAGTCACGATTTGACTTCGGTTGATTTATCACTTTATCATTACATAAACTGACATGTCAACTGTTGACATCAACAGGTATATTTAAAATAATTACAATTAAGTGTAATTGGTCTCACAGATTGTATTCAAGGCACTATTAATCAGAATTATTACTAATCTTTTCCAAGCTGGCATGAATGAAAATTAAGACTTGTATAGAAAGATTAAAATTATAAGTCAGTGTATAAACTGCTATATCGACTGAAACAATCTTAAATAAAGTTACTGTAGATGCGAAAGTCGACTGATTTTTTTAAAGTATATTTGTAATTCTCTTTGAATTCCAAATAACATTAAATCTTCTATTAAAGTTCATGAGTCTTCCCAATATAATATATTTTGAGCAACTAAAATGCTACAGACACATGAAGTCGGCAATTTAGATGTTATAATTGAATTGAAAGTTCATGCGATACGAAAAACTTGTTTAGAAATCTATTACGAATGTATTAAGATGGTTAACTTTACCATATATTTCATACATATTACATAGTGCAAAATAAACTTAAAATAAATTAAATAAACTTGTAGAATCAATATCGTACATTTTATTACACATTAATTTTTTGGGTAAAACAAAAATACGTAAGGAATAATGATGAACTAATATAAGGATTCGAAAATAGGATGAGAAATATAGAATCTAATATTAATTAAAATAAAAACAAAAAGGATTTCTGACAATCAGAAATATTAAAATAATAACTATTAGCTGTTAATTAAAACGAAGTTGTATACTATGTACAGAAGATGCAGGATTGTAGAAGAAACTGTATATCAAACAGACAACTATTATGCTTAAACAACTCTCTTAATGAAATTTCGGGAAAATTTAGTTTATTATAGCTCTCGTGTCTTACAAAAATTTAAAATAATATAATAAAAATAGTTATAATAATAACTATTTTATGTAACTTATTAATATAAGTTTTTCAATTTCTCTAAGATTGATACAATAATTTTCTTATATTTTTCATTGAACACTTTCCACAGATTGCAGACATTAAATGTTATGATCAAAAATTAAAATTATAAAATAATGATATATGACTGTCCTTAATCTATTTATTCATTACAATTCATTCTACTCTAAGTTATCTTATGCTAAGCTTAAAGCTGCAGATTTGAGTATTGTAACTAATGTAAGCGTAAAAGCTTGTATGCAATAATACAATAAAGTAAAGAATTTAATTATGTTAACATAATAAGGGGTGCTAATATGCACCATAATGTAAACAGAATTTAATAAGTGTACATACATCCATTACATTACATATTCCATTAATCAAGTTAGTAAAAAATTATATACAGTAAGCAACGTGTAATTGAAGTTATTCTCCTATAACTAATATGAGTAAGCTTATGGTTCACCTAAGTTGCTTTACAAGAAAAATGATTTATATCTCGCAACATATCTATTTCTGTTTAAATTTTATTGCTGAAGTAGACTTTAAAATTTAACAAATAATTAAATTGTTGTTTAGCTTGTAACATCTGGCAAAACTGACCACAGTGACTGTAATCGCTATTAATATAATGATCATCTATAGCATATACTACATATAAAAATGTTGATACTGAACAGTGTGAAAAAAATATTAAAATCGCTGAAACATTCAGTTTGGCGTTTAATTCGCAGTTCTATTCCTTTCTATATATAAATCCTAACGTATTGTATTCGTTGTTATTACACATATTTACAATGCAATATATAATCTGAAACGACACACTAGTATGTTAGACGGCATCTAATCATCTATAACTAATTCGGACGAGCAATTCTTTGAGCCTACAAAAATATGTATGTGCTTCATGGTACGAAAACTATTTTAAAAAAACATAATTTCGATTGTCTAAACGATGATCCCTCTTGCTGCAATATAAAAAAACATTTGCAGTTTTCTAATCTTAGAATGTTTAATAAAGAAATAGAAAGAGCAGTCTAAAATTTCAAATAACATGTGGAATTAGAAACTTTTGTTACTATTGCTTTTTAATACTATAGTTTGTATAGTATTATGTAAAGTATGCAATAAAATAATAAATAAACTTTAAAAAAAAATGTAGAAATTTAAAACTGAATAAAGTAGATTTGACACAATAGGCGAAATACCAGAATTGGACTACATTTTCAATGGCAATACAGATCCAACTTCGTTAACTGAGTAACAAAAGTTCTATCACAATATATTATTTTTTATGCATTATTTTATGGCCATAATTTTTTTATAAAAATTAATCAAAGTTCTATATGATAATAAAGTAAATTTTATAGAAAAATATATACAATATTTTACGACTTTAATTTTTAATAATATTTTTAACTTAGTAAAGCAATTAATATTGATAATTATACTAGTGTGAAGACATCGATAATCTGATTGTGAAATTTTTTATTAAAGTTTACAGAAAATCCTATTTGGAAATTAATTTATAGACTGTAGTATATAGTCAGAAGTACCTTCAAGATATTTTTTTCGTAAATATACGATATTCTCAAAAGATGGAAATAAAAATTATTATATATTCATTTAACGATTTATTATAAACAACTGGGTTCATGCTATTAATTTCAATACTCTAAATCTCTTTTCACTCATCATACAATTTTCATGTTCAATAACTCAAAAATATCCAAAGTATTTTATTCTCATGTAGGAATCACTCGTTTTCTAATTACACTGTTAAAATATTTATTAACAAGATCAGTTGTAATTTCATAAATTCCTCAGCATTAAATTAAACGATTTTTTGTTTGTAATATGTAAAAAAAGATTACAAAATTATTGTAAACATAATTAATTAATGAAATATTATAAAATTAGTTCATTATTTACGCAAAAGTAAATATTTTAAATAACCTAGAATAGATGAATGAAATAACAGTGTAATTTAATTAATAAATTGAAATGTTAAGTAATCATATAATAACAATTTACCGATTAAAATGTTAATAACTGATAACTACAAGTTAATTAAACAATTAATAATTGTATTAGTCTTCACTACAGCACCAATATATATCAGCAAAGTACTGTTAGTTTGTCATGATATCTAAAGAAATCTATACTTTTATTCTTAAAACTGTTACTACTTTTTGTACATTCAGGGAAACAAGTAAGTGCCATTTTGAATTTCGAATTAATTAATTTTGAACTGTCAAATAATTGAAAATGTGAAGAACAAATGCCTGTTTAATTATTAATTATTTAGTTTGAATGCTTGTAATTAATTACGCAATTAATTACCTATATATTGACACTAACTTTCGTTGTGTAATTAATTACACTGATCAATTAATAAGTTCATTTTTAGAAAATGATAAACCAATCAGTCGTAAAAATTTATTGACTTCATCGTTTAACTAACCTAAGAAAGACAATACTACTCAACTAATAATTTAGTTTGTCTATTAATTACCGGACAAAAGGAAGTAGATTTTACCACAAACAGAAAATATGAGATAAATTACCTCTATATTTTGGTAATTCATAATATTTTTTTTGCAGTCCTTAGCCGTATCATTTCTGCTCTGCTTTATCACAGGACGGCATGCACTTGTATCTAACATCAAAGTTAATTTGTTCAGAAAGATAAGACATGTTATCGTCATCCTTTTGTATATCTTCTTCATGATCCTCTTCTTTCTTCATTTCTTCTTCATCATCTTCGTCCTCGTCATCTTCATCTTGTTCCAGTAATTGTTTTCGAGCCATCTGTACTACTTGCCACTCTCGATAATGCTGTTTTCTCTTAGCTTCGAATGCTTTCCTTTTCTCTGAAATGGTGACAACTAAATTGGTACTTGTCTTACCATTTTAACAGCATAACAGTGATATTGGTTTCGATAAATGGCTTTCTATTTTCTCACTGCTCTTACATTTCTGATGACTTTACTTATGTTACATGATATATATAAATTTTTAATGTATTCTTAATTAATTAATTACCTCTTTCCTCAGGTGTTTCCTTCTCATCTTCATCTTCACTTGACTCTTCAAATATTTTTGGCTTGCTGCTACCTGCCAATCTGATAAGTAAGGGTAATGAAACAGATTTACAAGAATTTTTTGGAATATAGTTAATTATAGTTAGCAAGTTAGAATACAGTTAACAAAATCATTACTTCTATGATTAGCAAAGTAAATCTATTCAAAATTAGTATTTAAATATCAATTCATTAATTATGATTTCTTATGTTATTTTACATCATAGTAATTCTTAATATTACACAATCGTATATTAAATTTAATACAAATTTATTAATACACTTACTTGGCTGCAACTGCATTAGAATCTAATTGATCAAATTCAAATTCACCCTGCAGGCCTTCGTAGTTGTATGGGGTTTTTGGTTCATCAATTTTCATATGCCCATAATCTTTCTCTGCTGGGTGCAGTGTTGCTATTATGTTCATTTCATCCCATTTTGTTTCTTTCGGTGGCCTACAGCAATAATTACTACTGAATATTATAAATTTGTTCACAACGATATAACATAATGAATCAAAGTATTATACACTTTATTTTTTAAATCACAAAAAATGTTGTATTGTATTGACCATGTTTCAACGATAACTATTCCAAGATGCTATATTTTAAACATATTCTGAATGACAACTATAATTTTCATTAATTGTTTGATGATTAAAGTAAGAAATATAATAAACAGATAGTAATCTACAATTGTAATACAAAGTAATTGAATAAACATGTAAGAAATTAACGTACTTAATATCAACGTAATTTACAATTTACCTAACCTTAAAGAATAATTCTACACTGAACCTTAAATACCGAATTAGTAACAATTAAAAAAACACAAAAGTAACCTTTATTTTATTTTTTCTCAGAATAATGAATATAAAATTATTATTTCTATATTAAAACAAACTAGAAATAAGGAATTAATATACATTAAAAGTTTTTACCTAGATATATCTGGATTATCAAAACTGCTGGATGATTTCAAAATTCCTTTCGTTGGTCGTTTCGAAAGATTTTCTGCCATTTTGAGATAAATTGATTCACAGTTGATAATTATAAAACATGACGGTTCTCCGGAAAGTTAATTTTTCGTCTCAACGTTTTCGCTCGAATTAGAAGATGATCAGGCTGACAATTGTTTACAAGTGTTGACAATTAACCACCTTAAAAACCTTCAGTTCAGATCACAAAATTACGAGTTGTGATTGGTGCCATGTTGCACAACATATTATACGTAGAGAATATTTCGAATAAATTACTTTGTAACAGTGCGACGCATTTGAAATGATTCACCAGAAGATTTAAATCTACGCCTTGATTAGTATTGCAATGTAATAAGGAAGAAATTTTGTTACACACATATCTCTGCATCTTTCATTATACGATTAGTCGATAATAAAATTAAGAAGTTCCTATAATACCGAAAAGCTTTAAACATGTATTATTAAATGCTCAGAATGTGGCTCACTAAATATGTAAGTTGGAGAACGCAAAAAGATTATTTTATTACCAACACAAATTTTCCAGAAACTTTTTCTTCACTAAATTCCTAGTAAATTTTCAAGAAATTTCGTGAATATATTTTCAACAATTCCTTTACCCACGAATGAATTTTTTTATAACATTAATGAAAATTAATTATTAACAAATACATTTGTTTACAGTATATTAGTTTTACATAACAAATTAATTATACAAAACAAAATAAATTTGTGAAACAAGACACTTGGGTAAATTTATAGAGATTCTTTTACAAAATATAATAAATTGTTATTTGTTTAGTAGAGAACATTAATTTGTGATTACATTGAATAAAGAGTGTAAAAACAAGAGAATACATGTCCACGAAATAATGTATTATATAGTTAAATTATAAAAATATATTAAGACTTTGAATATTCATTTTGCCTTATATTTCTAAATTAAATATTATAGTAACAAAGAATAATTTAGAATTATAGCAAGTTTTTGAAGTTGAAATTGTTTTTTATTTAATTTTCTTCAATTTGAAATGTAAAATAAATTAAGTCTGAATTTAAAAGCAGATTTTTTTAAAAACAGATATTTAAACATTTGTTATTCGTCTATATAATTTAAATTAAATACTACAATTATTTTCAATAAAAGAAGTTTATATTTTTTTCAAGTATTATAAAATTGATTATACTCTAAATGTAACGATGGATCGTATTTCAATATATCGATGTATCGAATCGGAAACAATTATCGATGTTTGCCTTCACTATACATGCCACCTAACTGTTAATAAAATGGGAAATATTGGAAGAGCTTGAGCTCCAAGTTTGAATAAACATTCGAACGTGAAAAATACGCCCGGTAATTAAATGTGCCCTGCAACTAATGTGATGTCGTCTATATGTGATGGCGGGTAAAGAGTTAGTAGGCCATCAGCAGCAGTTTGTTGAGGAAATTAACTACCATGAAATTGAAAAAGAACAGGTATCTTAATTATACAGTAACTTTCCTCATTCATTTAAGAAAGTAGATCTCGGTTTTCTTTATAATTTGGTACAAAATTTACAAAGCGCCAACTTTCTTTGCGTATTTGGAATTTTTGTACTTTGTCTTAGTCGACTGAAATTTTATTCTTTAAACATAACCTAAACAATTTTTAGAGAAGTTTCAAATAAATTGTTGCTATCTATAAAGTCCATTTGATTTTCTGTACTCCTACTCTGATAATAATTTATTGAAAATATTTGTTGTTGAAAGAAATATAAAAGACTATAGAAGTCATAATATATATTCTATTTTAATGTATATTTATTATATTTCTTATTGTTTAAAATTTAATGTTGGTTACGTAAAATTAATGTAAAGTTTATAAAACTTTCCATGTAAAATCAGAATACATAAAATTTGTTATTTAAATTGTAATTGTATAATTATGTTTCATTCGATCATACTTTTTTTTGTGGTTTCCAGAATATTGAAACTAATTTCTAGAATAAGCTATTTTTATTTGGATTAACTTTAACTACTTTTAAAACATGCATGTCATTAATGCATTACTTTGAAAGTAACCGTAATTTTATGCAGGTAGTTGGAAAAGGTTCTTTTGGAATAGTATGGAAAGGAAAATGGAAAGGGCAATATGTTGCTGTAAAGTATATCAATTCGGAAGGTGAGAAAAAAGCCTTTACGATAGAAGTGAGACAATTGTCAAGGGTTGTGCATCCTAATATTGTTAAACTATATGGCGCCTGTACTAATCCAATGAATCCAGTCTGTTTGGTTATGGAATATGCAGAAGGAGGATCTTTATACAATGGTATTTCTTCTTTATTTTATATTTTATGATATTTAACACATCCGAGACTGGCAAATTTTTTGCTTCTGTAATACTCATTGTTATTGAAAATGAAGAAAATCTTAAGTTGTTGCAAACTTCTGATGTTAAAACAAGGGTAAACATTAGAAAATTTGTTTTGAAATATTAGTCTTGTAATAATCTGTTGTTTGAAATAGAGAACTGTCCATCAAAGAAGTCATTAATGGAAAAGAGTAGAAAAATAAAATATTTTGAAAGAATTTGAAAAGATGTGAATTTATATCAATGGTCGCGAATGTGTTAAGAATAATAAGTTTCTGTTTATACTTACAACTTTATTTATATCTTGCAGTATTACATTGTAATCCCCAACCACGGTACACTGCAGGTCATGCGATGAGTTGGGCTTTGCAATGTGCACGTGGTGTCGCTTATCTTCACAATATGAAACCAAAGCCTTTAATTCATAGGTAAATTAAATTACCATTTACGTCACACGTGATCCAAATTTTTAATTATAAAAATTATTGAAAACTACTTTTGTTGGTTTTAGGGATTTAAAACCACCAAATCTGTTATTGGTAATGGGTGGACAAACCCTTAAAATTTGTGACTTTGGCACAGCTTGTGATTTAAACACATATATGACAAACAACAAAGGTTCTGCTGCTTGGATGGCTCCAGAAGTGTTTGAAGGTTCTAAATATACAGAAAAGTGTGATGTATTCAGTTGGGGTGTTATCTTGTGGGAGATATTGTCAAGAAAGAAACCATTTGATGAAATTGGTGGCTCAGCTTATAGAATAATGTGGGCAGTGCATGTGGGACAGAGACCTCCTTTAATTGAAGGCTGTCCAAAACCAATTGAAGATCTTATGACTAGGTAATTATTATAAATTACAGTTCCATAAATAACTTTTGATAATTTCTAAGTAAATTATAAAAATAAAATCTTTTTTTGTTTTGCATTTTGTTAATTGGACATAATAACAGAATTAAAACTATTGTTAAAGTTGCATTACTTGTTTTTTTATGTAATGCCTTAATTAAGATATTTTAATATCAGTATCTATATTTTTACCATATGGAACTGTTACATTACCAATATAGCATGTATATTCGATCTTTTTGCAATTATGCTTTTTCAATAATTAGGCATAATTGAACAGACATAATAGGTTAAAGTTGAAAATAATATATTCATATTTATATAGTTGAAAAGTAAAATTCTATGCTCATACATTAATAGACATTACATTTCAGAATGAATGTGTGCATGAAATTTAATCTTCTCGTTTGACTCTGACTTCAAACACTGATGAAATTATATTTTCTTACATTGTGGTGGTATAGTTCATCTGTGAATAGTGTCAAATTAATAAGTTTGACACTTGAGATTGTCTTCCAAAGGTCAACAATATTTCTCATACTTCTCATTTTGATCTATCATTGATAGGCATGGTCATACGAATAAAGAAGTAGGGATAGAAGTAGGAAACTAGACATAGAAATAGATAGTTAGTTAAATTGAATAACAAAGATATTCAGGGATGAGCAGATAGGTGCATAAATAAGATTATTTCTATTATACATTATTATGACTTAAAATTTTTGTAAGACACGAGAGCTATAATAAACTAAATTTTCCCGAAATTTCATTAAGAGAGTTGTTTAAGCATAATAGTTGTTTGTTTGATATACAGTTTCTTCTGCAATCCTGCATCCTCTGTACATAGTATACAACTTCGTTTATCACTGGTTACAATTGGATCAGTGTGCAGTATCGTCACAATTTTTACATACATTGTGTCTGTGTCCCTATTAACGAAATATTTTAGTACATTCTGAAGGGATGAATGTTTTTCTTCATGAATATATACAATCCACAATTGAAATCAATCTTCACAGCAAAATGGATATTGGAAATGGAAAATCTTTGTGGTAGTCTTTAACACATTTTCTATTTATCCACAAGATGTAATTGTGGAAACTTCATTCGCTCTGAGATTGTTCCACATTCTTATTTAGGGTTTTTCTAAATTTCTTCTTATGAATTTTAGGTTTTATCCTAGGTGAGGGTGAAGATTGGGGCACATAGTTCATCATAAAATATTCATTAAAGAAATTGGGGTCTTTGTAGCAACTCTGGATTCTCCTTTGGAACAACAATCTACTCTTTCATCCTCTTCGATGTTTAGGCACTGGGAGCAAAGTTTAGTGGTAAGTGAACTTGTCTTCAATGATACTTGTTCGTTATGGATTTCGTTGAGTCTAATGACTACTTTCCCTTTCGTTTTTCTCTTGACGATTGAAAGATAGATGGAACAACATCTATTCTCAAATTATTATCCATGTCAGTGCAAGTGGATTTGTTGCGTGAAATTTTATGATTGCTCCCAGTTATTTTTCTTGTAAACCTTTCAGATAGTAAAATATGGAAGGGAAAGTGTACTTAGGAAGATGGTCGATAATATTTAAAAGATAAATAAACTAGGGAAATATTTTTCCAGGTTATTTAGATGTTATTCAGATAAAACAACAGACAGTTATCAGTAGTTTCTAAGAAGGTATTAGTTATTAGTTACTGGTTACTTAGTTATTAGGAGGTATTAGTATTGTTATTATATTCTTGTATTGACTTCATTATTGGTCTTTTAAGGCAATATACTTTTCAGTAAACCGCATGTATTTGTTTAATTTTAATCCCAGAAGTAATTATGAATCAGTCGTGATATGTATGAGCAATTAAAATACATGGAAGAATCGTGTATTTTATACGTGTACTACACCGTTGTTTTATGTATACAGGTTGCAATGCTATTCAGTCTTATAAATTTTATGCAGATAGTTTTTTAATAAGTCTGCATATTTCTTAAATTATTCTCAGAACAAAGTTGATACATTTTTTTTTATATTTCAGGTTCATCTATACATAACCAATCATAATAAATTCTGAACTATACTAGCACAATGTATACAGTCATTAAACATGTGATATATTAATTTAAAGTTGAATATATTCATAATCTAAATAACAAAATATGTTGATTGATTCAAGCTCAATACCTATATAAATCGCTAGCGTTCGATAAAAAAGAAAAACGTTTGATTTTTTCAGGTGTTGGCACAAGTCTCCTAAAGAAAGACCATCAATGGATGTTGTTGTAGAAATAATGACAACATTATCGCAATTTTTTAGTGGTCATTTAGAGCCTGTCGAGTATTCTGCCAGTACGTATACTTTCAGTTTCAAATCGTTAAAAATAAATAAGAAATAATTTAAGTTGAAATATAACAAAAAAAATTGTTACAATAAGTATTTATTATAATGTAGGTATTGAGTTAGAAGAAGTCAATGATAACCATGTCCTCAAAGATAATACTTTAGATATGACTAGTACTCTGGATTCTCAAGTAAATGGATATACTCCTAACGGTACAATCAGAGCTAGTGGTCCCAAAGAAACATCAAAACTTCCAAATGGGAAAGATAATTTATCAAACCCCTTCTGCGATTTTAGAGATAGTCTTTGTAAAAATAATTCATTAGGGAGTACATGTAAAAAACTTCAAAATAAACATTTCCCACCGCTTCATATTGAATGCGATCAGGTTAGTATCCATAATATTTAATAAATTAATCGTTAATTAATAAATAAATTAATATTTCAGTATTCATACAATTTTTAAAAGTTTATTAATTTATGAACTATCTTCAAAGATATATACATTGTAATCTTACAAATTTTTATCTAAACATATATGCTTATGTTTATAATTACAGGATGCTTGGGAAATACCATGTTCTGATCCACCTTTGGATTCCCCTGTCCTGAGAACGAAAAATACTGGCCAGAGTAAGTAAATACCTTAGTTTTAAAATATTCAGGTTGGGAAGGGTTCAATTCACCTGATGATTCTAATAACTTGACTCACACTTAAATTTTATTTATTTATTTATGTTAAATATCTGATCTAATTATGTTATTCCATTGAAGAAATCGTTGAACAATTTTTTTGAATTAAAAATTATTGTTTAACTTTCTATGCTTGATCATAAGAAGAAACTTATAATTGCTCACCTTAGGTCATATATTGCTACTAATGGACTTCAGTTTAAACATCAATTACTGTAAACAAGAAGTTCACTTGATATCTTAGTACTGTTTTAAAATTTATTTAATATGTTGGTGTACAAGGTCATTTTAAGGTTACAAGTTAGCATGGAATATATTTTAACATTTGTTATAAAATGGAATAAAATGAAGTGTGTATTTTTATACAAAAAGAATATCAGTAACTGTGAAAAATTCAAAATAAGATTTTAACAAAATTTTTCCTATGACTTTTGAAAGATATATTTAGATATTTGCGTTTTAGTAGGATTTCTCTCATTTTATTTATGAATTTTACATATCTTTTTTACGTATTTCGCGTAAATGCAACATAGTACAAGTGAGTTATTATTTGTTAACGAGTTCATGGTTGCTATATAGCTACCGAGGAAGGAGAACTCGTCTGTGGCGAGAGCTCCGAATTTGTGACTCACCGCGATAGTACTCTAATCCCAAAATAACGTTCTTCGTATGATCCACAAAACCTTGCTTTCAGCGGGGAATGTATATCCTCAGACGTATTGTCGCCATTTAAAAACTTGTTCCTACAGTTAATATTAATGCGTATACTTCCTTGAATCTAATTAAATTTCTTATATAAATTACACATTAAGCTCCATTTTTGTATTAAGGACTAATTAATGCAAAAATAGCTCAATACATAAAATATCAAATTTTATATATTTTATTACAATGTGGAAGTTTTTTAAACATTTCGAAAGAATATTGTATATACACGTTTAAGTACCCTACATATTAGTTATAATAAATATTACATAAAATAATAAATCAAATTTCAAAAATTTGGTATAAGATATTGAAATGAATATTTAAGTGAATTCATTAATTTAAAAATTGTAATGAAAGCTTCTATTATTTATTTAATAATTTCATTATTCAATAATTTATTGTCAACGTGAATGCATATGTATTATTTATATATTCATATATTCATATTTTAATTTTTTTTTACGTTATTACTGAATTTATGCATATGTTATAAATATTCTTTCCTATCTATCTCTAGGAAAGTCTGTAAAAATGTTATTGCAAAAAATATAAACGTGCCACTTGGCACGCAACGATTTTCCCCGTGACGAATTCCTTTGGAGTTCGTCGATCGGCGAAATCTACCCTGGCAAAGGGCCCGCGAAAACAGCCACATTGTGCGACTCCACTAAATTTAACTGCCAACTAATAGCGGGAACTTGTTCCTGATTGACACCTATTGACAGTTATAAAGGTCACACTCTAAAAAGTTCTGATTACGAGAAAAGAAAATAGTAAATAAAAACAAATCTCATGAGCGATTGTGTACATTCAAATCATAACTAAATACACTTCTCAATGAAAATAGAAAAGAATATTACTATTAAATCTTATCTAAACAATGAAATTTAATAAACATACTTAAATTTATATAAATACATATTCTAAACGTCTTTGTTTCTAAGTTATATATTTTGCTTAATTTTATTTAATCATTGCTCTTAATATTGTATATCTGTGAGTAATATTCTTAAATACTCGATCACTATTATAGAGTTTTAAACTTCTTCAAGGAGAATGTTCTGTGAAAAGTTCCATGTCTTGGAAATGAGGCCATTACTATCTGTATAAAACTTTTCTAATTTTCGTTTGTCTAATTTATCTTTCAAGTTGTGGGTAATTATTATGAAATACTCTTTGTGTGATCTGTGAGAAATTCACATTCAGTTATCTAATTTTATACAGTTTATGTTTAGTATCTAATATTAATGTGTCTTCTTAAAGGAACACCAATTTAATATTTCAAGTTATCATCTTTCATCGATCTGAGTTATAAATTTTAGACAGAACAGTCAAAGGTGAAATATTCTGTTGTCTAAAAGTTGATGCCTGGAATATATGTAGCTGATATTCAGTGGCCAACGAATTCTTCTTCAATTGTTCACCACGAGAATCCAAATTTCGACCTAATCCAGCCCTGAAGATGAATTAAGAGCCGAAGAACCGTATTTTCTTCTTGGCTCGTGCTTGCACGTCTTGTCTGGTGGGGGATACCTCGAAGCAGGTGTGGCTGACTCACCAGGCCCAATATAGATGCACGTTTGTTTAGTGCTCTCCCGACCCACCACCAAGAACGACGGTCTTTCCACCTCTTTCTTCTTTTTTCTATCATCCTCGTTTCCGAAAATCACGATTTTCACCAAAATCTTCACTCATCTTCCTCGCTGTTGTTCGATCGGTCACCATCTTCTTGGAAAATCGTGTAGTTCGTGGATGTTGATCGGTGTGACACCCTTCATGTGAGAACCTTGCTTGATTTTATTATGAACCAAGCCTCGACAGGCTCCAACATTTGGAAATGTGTGAGGAATATCCAAACATCGTCACCACGGACACCCTAAAACGGTGCTGGGTTCTACTGCGTTAGTACTTTTGCTTGCTTCTTTCTCACTGTCAGGGTAGAGACGGGTTGTTTCAAAGTAGTATGGATGAGACAGAGTCAGGATGTATGGATGAACTGAAATGTTCACTGGGCTGTTTCGTATATCGTTCGCGTATGGGTAATCGATTCAGTATTTAGCTGAAATTAATTTAATTAGAATACAGTTGGAAAGAAAAACGTAATTATATTATATTTTTTCTGTTCAGTAAATGAGTGATACAAACATAATGTAGCAGTAAAATATTTTTTATTTTAAATATAGGCGATAAGTAAGTGGTGAAGGATTGACTAGACAAACAAGCATTTAAAAAATTGAATTTAAGATATTTAAAATACATATATGGATTATTATTCTTTGATAGTTCTTTACTTTTTGAATAACTATTAAAGAAAGGTGGATGATCAAGTAGTTAAAGAAAGTATTTTTGTAAATTAAATGTTTAACTGAATTATTTTTTTTTCGAAATTACTTATAATAAAGAAATCAAGATTTTATAAGAAGTTGTGTGTTTAACACTTGAAAGCACATTTGCTCTTTTTTTTTAATGTATACATGATTCATATTAAATGAAAGCATCAGGGTATTATTATTGAAGATTCGTTTAATAAACTCTTGAATATTTATATTACAAATCCATGTTCTGAAAGATCTAAATTTGTAAAACGTGTATATTTATAATGAATTATTATTCACCATCAGGTAATAGCACAACTAACGAAGATTTGGACAATGTTTACCGACTACTGGATGCGGATTTGAGACCGTTAACACCAGATCAAACTTGTGAAAGATCAAAAGAAATTTTTGAAGAGCATAAGCAGCTTGCACAAGAGTATTTAAAAGTTCAAACAGAAATAGCCCTCTTGGGGCAACACAAGAATGAGATGCTTAAAAATTTGACTTTAGACAGCTTAAGGCAACAAGAGGAACTTAAAAAACTGGAAGATGAGAAGGTAAGGTAGGTTTATATCATATAAATAGAAAGAATAGCTTCTGGGCTATTTACATAAATTAAAAATGGTAACTACAAAAGATATTATTTATTAAATTGCAGGAATCTTTGATAAAACTATACCGTAATTTAAAACGGCAATTAGAAATAATGAAAAACCAGAGGATGAATAATGCCTTGAACACTCAATTGATGAATCCTGCAGTTTCAGGAAACAATGGATGGTTTGTAATACCTTGTCAAGATCCTACGAGACACTCCTGAACATTCACATTATTTACTATCTGTAAAAAAAGATAAGTTCTTCTCCGTCTTCTAATCAATGGTAAATTAATAGCAGCGATTATTTGTGAATACAACAAAAATTGATTGCAAAAGAAAATAAGAAGAATTGACTTTATCAAAAGAAACGATGATTTTGCAGTATAAAAATATTGAAAAAGTGTTAATTAAGCACGAAATTACTGCTCTTTTGCATTTGATCAAGACTACTGTTAAGTTTTCGAAAACTTTTACAGAGAATTCTGATCTTTTTTAATAAAATTATGGAAGTTAACTTTTATTTTTTTGTTCGTTTTCATCATGGTTATTCCAATTTTTTAAGTAAATTTATTTCAGGCTAATGACACATAAGCGTTTCATTGAGATATGTTTTCCATACTTTAGAGAAAATTTAGTGAAAAATTTTATTTTAGATCCAGTTTTAAACGTTTTCTGACTCTACAATATTTCAGAATGTAGCTGTAAATTGTTTAGAAACCAGTGAAATGATAAACTCCTATACTATATCCACTCAAGTACAATTAAAGTTTTCATATCCTATACTATAGAATGCCATATGATTAAATGAAATGGCGCTTGCGTGTCTTGTGCCTAATCTTAGATAATGTAGAACAAACACGTGAAAAAATTGATTTTATGCAACACCTTACAAATTAGTACCTTATGGCATAATCGGCAATCCATTATAGTGATTAACACGAATTAGTTAACTGCCTGCGATATAGCGATTAGTACGGTTATTTATGTAAGAATTAACAGTGGTAAAATTAAGAATGTATCTTACCATTATTTTATTATTTAACTGTTACTGGCTGACAATTCATTCTCGTCACTATAATTAATTTGTACAGTCATTTATATATTGAATAACTGATATAATTTTAAAGTATTAATAACTATTTTTAATCATATAATTACATCTCAGATACTTATAACGGAATTCGTCCTCCTTGTAATTTATTATGAACTGATTCTTCATTTTAAAAAATGTATGTATCTTTTAACTAAATGTGAGTATAATTCAAGACTTGAACTTCTGTCCTTTGTTTTAAATAAATGAATCTTTTTTTATTTTGTAATTATTCTTATTGTGAATTCCCATTACCTTACAATTAATTAATAAATGTGAGGGAGGGGAGGGTAAAATATTTATGCCTTTACACACAGAGACGAAATTTACACAAAAAACGAATCGGTTTTTTTCTTTCGTTTATGTCTGACCATAAACTTCACTTTCTACTTTGTAATACGACACGTTCGATATCTGTGAACTGAAGTTCATACAAAATGGTGTGATTTCGTTTTTTCTTTTTTCCACGGTAATAGATTATTTTTAAACATTTGTAAACCAGAATTTAAAAATTTCATGAATTAATTATAATGCATAAACATATTTTCTTTGAGCTTTTTATAAAATCTAACGTTATGTCTAAGCCAATTATAAGAACAGATTCGAATTTATAGTTACAGTTATTTACAATAATTAAAAAGGAAACATCTTTATCAGTAAAACTTCTGTACGTTTTTATCCGTGCTCACGAACATTTGATTGCAATACTGAAAAATCGAAGTAGTAATATCTTTTAAACTAATGAAATTTCAGCACAAAGCTAACAATTATCTGAACATTAATAATATGAAATGAAAAAGAATGTTAAAATTTGTCTCTCGCAAAGGGGAAACGGAGGGTGAGAAATATAATTTGCGATATGACAAATGTAGAATGGCTTTTTAATTCGACCGTATTTACCATGTGATTCGATTTGTCTAGGTCTACTCTATTTAGAAGATACACGTGAAAGTTAACCCTTTACACTCTTGAGGCGACCCTCGATCGCCACTTGGTTTGACACAGTAAAATTACGAAGTTTGATCTTTAATAATACACTTAACGATAAGAGTAATATTGAATATCTATAAAACAAAATCTGATTTATCCAAATTAAAAAATATAAAGCAACTACTCCAATAATTCATAATCTTAATGTCGGTAATATTAAAGATAATAGTAATTCCAAAAATCGATCTCTCTTCAAGTTAGTTTCAGATCTCTGTGTCTCGTCAGGAAACGTCAAACGTTAGGTCTACCGGGAAGTTCTGCCCGATAAAGTCACTCCAACTTTCCAGAGACGAGTGATTCTACAGAAATGGAATCTACAAACTACCATCGCGCTGGCAAGAGGTCATTAGCGACGATGGGAATTCTATTGTACAGTAAATATTAACAAATATATTGAAAACGTATTGTCTTCTTTCAACGCGTTGGCCGCCACGAAACACTTCAGCGTTCTGCGCATCCCTTATTCTCTTGCATCGAAGACAACAAGGAACAATTACCATAATTATTTGGTACCATAATTCTTAAATTACAATATCATCCAGTTAATTACGAACATTTTTATTCGACGTCGGTTATCTTACAAATTAGAATTGCTTTCAACTAATTCGGCAACTCCGGTGATCGCTGAACACCGTGTTAATCCTTTGCACTCGAGAGGCGCCTTCCGGTCGCCATTCAACTTGATCCACCAAGATTTCAAAGTTTTTAAATTCAACATTAAATTTCGTCTAACATATCAACGCGTGGAGCATTGAAATAAAATAGTTCCATCCCTTAACTCACCCAAGATACATCCTTATATCAATAGCAAAAAGTACCATCGACACAACACCAGAAAACAATGAATATTCGTTGAGAAAAATATTCTCGAGTGCAAAGGATTAACCCTTTGAACTCTGTAGGCTCCAATATTGCACCAGTTATGATATTAAATATTCTAATGAATCTTGGTTAGGTGGAGTTGCGGTTAACACATTGCGTACCGGTTAATTCTTAGAGAAATGGCCGATTTTTCAACGAGATCAACTTATAAGTTCGTGATATATATCACTGTATGCAAAATATTCTAATATCTTATTACTTTTTCATAAGTATTAACCCTTTGAACTCTGTAGGCTCCAGTATCGCACCAATTCTAATATTAAATATCCCAATGAATCTTAAAGAAACTACCTTAAAATCATTCTCGATTTTCCACACATCAAAATTTTGTACTACGAACGAAAATAAAAGATCGAAGAAATGTTAGAGCATTTCTAATTTTCGCTAGGAGTACTATAAAAATCGCAGTTGCCGATAGATTACAAGACAGCCTTGAGTGCTAAGGGTTAATCTTTCGAACATAATTTTATAATTCGTTTTATAAACCCGCCGTACCATAAGAGAGACAATTTTCTCATTTTCACGAAGAAACATAAACCTAAAGCACTTCGCGTCTTCTTAATAACAATCGCGTCGACAAAGTAGCGGCGAAACAAAACAGCATAAACGTAAACGTTCGAGGTAAACCGAAATGCGAGAGGGTTGACAACGACAGGAGAGACCGCGGCGGAGGGGTGTAGAGAGGCCGCGATTACCGAGATAATCGAGGCAAAACAGCAACCCCCGATAACGCGAAAAAACGTGAACGTACGATGCGCACGCACCCGCCGGAGCCAGCGTATACTAGCACGGCTGGCCGATGGCGCGGCGAGGGGGATGAAAAGGCGGAAGCTTGCGTAGACAGGGAGGGTGCAGTCGCCTCAGACGTCTGCTAGATCTTAATACTTCGCGTCGGGCCTTCCCTTTAAGCTTTCCGTTTCTCGTTCGGTTGCACCTTCGATTATTCTTCCCTTCGGCGACGACCGTCCACGATGGCTCTCGATGCCACCGAGAAAAGTTACATCCTGGACGCGAGGAACAGCTACGAGGATGTGAGTAACGAGCTACCCCTAACCGTCCTATCCGCACTGTGCGATCCTTCGGCCTCAAACAGACACGTTCGCGACGAGCTTCGTCGAGCCGAGTATTAAAACAGAATTTTTTGTCCTTCCACCTACTCGATACGAGGATTCTGAAGGAATGAAACGAACGGTTTTGCGTTTCTCTCAGGCGTAGAGCTAAAGGGGTAACTGGATTACTCGCGTAGAGTTTTGTCGTGTTACGGTTAGCGAGTCGCGCGACGAGCATTCCTTTATCTGTCGATCAACGGATCTCTGCAATCGGATGATTCATTATACCTCTCGAAGGTTGATTAGATCGCGGCCGTTGATTGAACGGCGATAATGAGGCCGACCGTGTCGGTGGCATCGGAATTTAATGGAGGTGTTAATTGCGGGGCCGGCGGTCGGGATTGGCATTCCGGGATAGTTGGTCCCGTCGTTTTCCTAGCGATGTAAAAATGTATTTAGGTGTTCGTTAACCGGTTGGAATTGATGGTTCGCTCGTTTCTTAGAGTTGACGTACTGTTCATTTGGTCGGTTTGTTGTAACGGGTAGTTTTTTCGTAGGGGAAGGTTTTGTTATGTAAGAAGGGACGAGCTGGAGACGTTTTGGCGATGCAGGCTGGAAAGTTATGATTGAGATCGGACAGGGCGAGAATCGGGGGATTCTGCGAAGTATGACTGTACCATTGCAACAAAGAAAAATCTATAATTCATCGTACGTGTATATAGACACTCGACTGTCTGCGTTTCTGCGTTTCGCCGACAGGGATGAACATTTGTATTGTGAACTTGGGAATAGCATTGTATTTTTTGACGTTAGTTCAATTAATTATATATTTTTATTGATGTTTATATGGAAGGAACGTAGAATTATCGAAAAATTGTTGTTTAGAGGGAATCTCGTTAATTTTCGAAGAGTAGTATTCTCTTTTTACAAACGAGTTCGTTGTTCAGAGATTAAAAGTACGGTATAGTAATCATGCACAGTGAACGAAGTATCAGTGTGCGATAAGGTCTATTTTGTTTACAAGTTGAAGGAACTCTTATTGAAATAGATAAATACTCGTCGAGTTGCAATTTTTGTCGATTGGTTTTTGTAATTGATGAGTCGTTTGAATGTTCGATAGTTATTCGTGATTTGAAACTAGATTCAGATATAGTTAGTCGTACGTGACAAGTAGAAACCGGTAGTTATAAAAAGAAAATTCGATCACGCGACTAATGTTTACATATATTACACAAGAAACGCACGATTACTTTTAGCCACCGCTGTATTTATCTGACGTTGAAATGTTTTCTTTCGTATCTTCGTACGAAAGTAGATATATTTCCTTAATTGCTAATATATAAAGATTAACGAAGCGAGACAAATAAAAATAGATAAGAGTGCGCCGAGTTCATTGTTTACACGATGAAGGAAATTACCGTCAACGCTTCGTGAAGTTTCGCTTAAACTGAAGTCTGTAATTAAGCGCGAACAACAATGCACCGCTTAATGAGTTTCCCAAGGGTTTATGGAATCTGTGTTATATACAAATTTACAATTTTCTGGTAATACATACACGCATTCGAGGTCAATTTACGCTTTTACATTTATTTGATGGTGAAAGGATGACATTTGTATGAAACGAAAATGCTACGAATGAACGAACAAATGAATCATCGAACCGGGAGACATATAAACGGAACAATTGGTGTATTCAAATTGTTCCAAGGGATATCAATAAAAATATATTACTCAAATTTTGGCTTGTATGAAATTTCTAAAAGTTTTCTTTTACGATACGAAATATTTTGCAATTTCTGTAATTCCATAATACTCTAATACTTCTATTTCAATACAAATTTATAGAATATTAATGAATGTATGAAATACATTTTCAAATTAAAGGAAATATTAACCATACTTTATGGTATTGGGGAATGTAATGTTTATAACAGTTATTAAAATATAAGAATAATGTAAAGCAAGGTGATGCAAACAGAATAGGCTAAAGAATAAAGAAAAAAGATTATATATATATATACTTTCTCTGTATAATAGACTATAATTATTTATGTTTAGTTTATAATATTAGTATAATTACTAAGCTTTTTTCCAAAATTACGATGACATTGTAGAAGTTAAAATTCGTGTTAATTTTCCTTCTAAATAGGGCGGCAGTCTCGGCTCAGAAGAATCTTACGATGATATGAGACAATTAGTCGGGGTAAGAGACAATTAATTATCTAATTAGAGTCCACTATTTGCTGGCTTGAGTTCGTTATACGAATCTACGAGATCAGCATGATTGCATGAGTTCACATTAGAATCAAATCCGCTACCTTCCTCCGTCGCTTTTTACATCTTCAGATGAAACATTTACATTAATAATGATCGCTCGCTTACAAAACCGAAAGTAGAAATATCGAAAATAACTATTTAAGTATTCTTATTTTACTTCGAGTCCCTTTCATTCTAAGCATTTACAATAAGGCAAAAAGCATTAATTTAGTTTTTTAATTAAACGAAACAATATTATCTCTCATTCCCAAACGATTTGCCAATTAACGTTATTAACACTTTGCACTCGAAGCTGTTTCTCACTGACATTACCAGCAACTCGAAGTAATTTTAATAGAAAAAGCGTATTAACATATAAACAAAGAATACGCGCATGAAAAGAACAAGTCATAGATGTATCTTACTGTTTCCTATCGATTATAGATATAAATGTTATATAATATATTTAATGACAAATTTTAAATGGCTCTTGCAACGGAGCCCGCGAGTGCAAAGGGTTAAAAAATACATATTTCTTTCTTTCTCCAAATTGAATAGAAAAACCGTGCGTACAGTAACTTTGTTTCTCATTCGATTGTAAGTCATAATTTATAATATTCAAAGACACCGTAAGATTAAAGATCCCCTGGATAGTTCGAAATCCCTGGGCACCGAGGGATGTTTTTTTAGAAACAATAACGCGTGATCGATCGATCGTTCACGGCATTGTCAGTTGCTCAATACCGTTTCCGTTTCCCCGAGCCCTTTATTATTTCTGGATACCAATAAAATCTAATTTCCCAGGACAAGAAGGAGGAATCCGGAAAATTCAATACTCTACCTCTGGCCAGTTTTAATTTTATCAACTCCATTATCGGCAGTGGCGTTATTGGTAATTTGATCATGTGCTCGAACAATAAACTCTTAAATGTCGAAATCACATTGTACGTTATATAAAAACAATACTCGGTTTCCACATCGGTAAACAACATCGTCCGGTGTATACAAACCCAAGAATGCGTAATCAAGTAAAATCATTTGCGAAAGAAATTGAAACGTGCCACACACTGTATATTAGGTTGACCCGCAAGAGAAAATTAAAACGTGGAATTTACGCCTTTGGCCTCGTTTGAATGCAGGAATCCCCTTTATCCTTGTTTCTTCTTAGACGTAATGCATAACTGAGCGGGAACGTTTCGCGTGCCGAATGATTCAGAGATGATTTATCAGAATGATAATCTTATCTACCAGAAGTTACGCGACACAAATCAGAGCACGATAGTGTTCTGGGTACGCTGGATTCTCCTTTATTGATTTTATCTTCCAAGAAAAAGCTGCGATGCTTCGTGAGAAACGAAAGCAACCTTTTACTGTAATTAAAAGTGACGTTTACAGAGAAGAAACTTAGGATCGTGTCGAGATTATTGTTTAACACTGGGTGTACGGACATTTATAGTTTATTCTATCGCTTTCGAAGAAGTATGATATTCGTTTACTTAGATTCCCAAAATCAGACGTTGTGAAAGTAGACGATTCGGATACGTTGTCCGTGTGATTGCGTCGATCGAAATTGGCGTAAATATTTAGCAAATAATATTTATAATTTGCTAATACTCGAGAAGAGTATTATTTTTCTACGAATGATTTCGACGTTTAAAGTTTAATAGTACGGTAATTACGAGAGAAAGATTAACCCTTAGCACTCCAGGTGGTTTTGTAATTTATCAGCAACTGCAACTAATTTTTATGATATCCCCAGTGAAAATGAGAGATGCTATAACATTCCTTTAATCTTTTATTTTCCTTCTCAGTAGAAAATTCGGATGTGTGGAAAATCGAATAATTTTAGGGTGGTTTCTTTGATTCGTTGAAATATTTGATATTAGAACTGGCGCGATATTGGAGCCTACAGAGTTCAAAGGGTTAATGTACAGTAAAATAATATCACATCGAAACGGACAATGGATTCTATAATGAAATACTTTTTTAGGCATACCATACGCCCTCCATCAAGCTGGATTCGGCCTCGGTATCGCATTGTTGATAGTGGTAGCCGGCCTGACTGATTATTCTTTAATTCTGATGGTCAGAAGCGGTCACATCTGCGGGGAGATGAGCTACCAAGGTTTAATGAGGGCCAGCTTCGGTCGTCCCGGATTTTATATTCTCACAACTTTGCAGTTTTTTTACCCGTTTATAGGTAAACAACCACATTTCCATAGTAATTCGCGTGATTCCCTGATTAACACACGTTGAATGGCCTGGCCGCCAATAGGTGACCCCAATGGGTGACCCCCAATCAAATTCAATTACTGTGGTTCGTTCAATGGAACGTCGATTATACGCAAACATTTCTATATTACAAATAACGTTATTATTGAACGTGCAATAATGATAATAATTCGATTCAATCAAATTATTTAATATTATATTCCTTCTGTTTTGTATAGTTCGCACTATGGAATCGTGCGGCATTCAACGTGTTAATGATAATAATTCATACACCCGTCCTTCGATTTACGCGTAAATTGTGACACTGTTTATACGGTGTTGTTTATACACGCGTTGTGAATTTAGTTTAAATGATAATTATTGTTACAACCGAATAAGATTTATTTTTCTTTGCCAAAATGTCAGTTATTACGTTTTTTTGTTGAGCGACGCGGAAGTAAATGTGCACAACCTTGTATCGGCTTCTCTTTTTAATATTTTTGATTTTCATTCGCGTAAAACGAGTTCACGTGGAAGGGACACTTCGTGTAAATGGAGGGACCGGTATATTATATACACAGTTATACTTCGACAATTCCGTATTACAAAAATATGCCACTTTCATATCGTATATAGTAAACAGTATTAATAATTTTAATATGTATATAAAATTATTTATTTGTATACTATTATACATAATATTTGTGTATTATATATTATTTTTATTTAATTTATATATACTAATTTATATATATTTAACACATTGCGTACCGGTAATGAGAAATCTCGTTTTTATATAAAGACACTTAGCTATGCAACTTCGCTAATTACCACAGTATTGAGAAAATATAAAATTTCATTCGAATTGATTATCTATTTAAAATATATCACATAACAATATGATATCTGAGTTTTTTTATGTACAGTTGATACAAGTTGATCTCAGTGAAAATTGCCATCCGCGCAATTCAGTTTTCTGAAAATTGGCCGGTACGCAATGTCTTAATATAATATTAATAATTTTATATAATTACATCGCAAATGTCCGACATTTTATTCACTGGTCACGGTGCGTGCTGTTCCCAATTTCCATGTTCACCCACGCGATACACGTTCAACCCCGTTTATAATTTTCAATTGTCACTGCTCTTCACCCGCGCAGCTCGGTGACGTGATCCATTGATAATTACCGAAGACGGTAATGTCGCTCACGCGATTATATCAATTATCCGGGAACAAAAATCTCCTGAAACGCTTTCAGCGTTTTGCAAGCGCGTGTTGTTACACCGACGTTAAATTAGTAACGGCAACGCAGGTGACAATTTAATATCCAATTCCGTATTGGAATTTTAATAATACATTTTGTAACGAACCGTGACGACAGTGGATGAAATGTTACGTAGAGTAATTCCGAGTGAGATGGCCCAGTTTCATTGACATTATCGGATATCTAAATTTTCACTTGTTTCTAGTGGTATACTGAATCTTGCACAGAGACATATTTAACCCTTTGACCTACAGTATCGTGTCAGAATCGTGACGAAAATTTTCAATTGTATTCGATGAACCTAAATGTTATTCATTATTTTTCAATATAAATTGAATATTTATATTGAATCATTTTCTGCTGTCAATCGTTATTCTTTAGAGCAAAGGTACATGTGAGATAAATATGAAATTCGTTTCTTTGTCTGATAAACTATTAATGATAAAGTGGTTTCATCGAGTACAGTCATGAAAGAAATCACAGGACAAGGGGTTAACTATTTCTCTTATACATATTCAAACAATGAATATAGCAAATATATTTTCTTCGTAGATATTAGGTTGTTTAAGTTTCTTTCGCGTTCTATCCGCAATACTTAATCGGGCAGTAATTTTAGGAAGGTGTTGTTACAAGGTTCCCGAAAAAGTGAAATGAGGTTATAAATCAGAATGAATTCTGTACAATTTAATGACGCAACGTAAAACATACAATATCACGCGTCCATTGTGCATTTATAAAGCGAAAGAAACATTAGGTACAACCTAGTGACAACGATATTTATGTTTACTAATAGTAAACAATATTTATGTTCATTAATAGTTAGTCACTATCGTTATTAATAGTTAAGTTAACGATATTTACGTTTATTAATATGCTTCTTAACAGCTATGTTTCTTTTTTAAAAAGTGGACCATCCACCCGACTTACCCTATAGAAAATCTCTCAAACGAGATGCGCATATTCACTTAAAGAAACGACCCTTAACGGTCTGAGTGAAGTCCTTTGTCTCTTCCAGCGATGGTCTCTTACAACGTTGTTGTCGGCGATACGGTCACGAAGGTTTTAATAAGGGTGACTGGGATGAGCGAGACGAACATCTTCGCTCACCGACAAGTGGTCATCTTCTTCGCGACGATCTGCATTACAATACCGCTGTGTCTTTACAGAAACGTCGCCCGTTTGGCCAAGATCTCCTTCCTTTCTCTCGTCTGTGTCGGTTTCATTTTGTTGGCCATTTTAATCCGAATGAGTACGATGTTCTCAATTGTGTGAGTATTCCTACGATTGGCGTGTTACATCTCGATTCATCGATTCGTAGAACACACCGCGAGAAGGAACTATAATTCCGTTTTTGACCTCGTTGGCCGGTTCAAAGCGCGACGTTACCGAGGGAACGATACACAATAGAAAGCACAATTTCTTATTTCTCTATTCAACGCTTCGACTGCCATGTAAACACTCGTCAAAACTGCCATGTACTAGAAACAGTTTTTTTTTCATTAACCAGAAACTGAGAAGTCAAGGTTCCTCTTAACCCTTTGCAGACGAATGTCGACATTTCGATCAGATGAAACGTTCATATTTGGAATACTAAGTTGCAAAAAAATGATTTAATTACTTGAACGGCAAGTGATCAGTGTATAGTTTCCTTTTTACTGTTGTTTAAGCATTCGATGTTTAATTTAGCTTCAAATGTTCCAAGCTTTGTGTACTTTAAAGTCTTCGTCCATAAAGGGTGAATAATTGCTCCACTATCTTTCTTATATCTCGCATATCCAAAAAAATCCAGTTTGTTCGATACGTCACCAAGGAAATTAACCCTTCGCGGACGAAGATTCTTTGAAATGTAGAAAACCTTCAACAGATGAAGCTAAATATACATTGATTGTTCAAATAATAGTAAAAACAGAAACTACATGCTAATCTCTTGCTGTCCGAGTAATTAAATCATTCGCCTGTGACTCAGTCTTCCAAACATGAATGTTTCATCTCGCCGAAATTCGTCGACATTCGTCGGTAGAGGGTTAATTGTCCGAGTGTCTGTGAAAAATAATGTCACCCGAATTCAGGTGGCGTGACAGTCAAAGTGTTAATCCTCTTCTTGAATGTATCGGTATTAGAATATTTTTAATATCGATTTATAGTGTCATCGGACTTTTGGAGAAATATACCATATATTTGTGGAAACTTTCTGATCGTTTGTAAATCGCGCGGCGTAAAGTTTGACGCGTGGGTTCAAAAGGGAAACTTTTTCTCCCCCGTTCCAGTGCGAACGAACATTCACACGGTTTCGGTTTCTGAGATCGATCAAACATGCATGAACTTCCAGGCCATGCCAAGAAGATAGCTGGCGATTCGCGAACTTCCCCGGAGTAGTGCCATCCGTCGGGATTATGGCATTCGCCTTTATGTGCCATCATAATACGTTCCTCATCTACGAGTCCATAGAGAGAGCCACCCAACAGAAATGGGACGTCGTCACCCATTGGTCTCTTTTCACCTCGTTCTTGATCGCGGCCGCTTTCGGGATCATTGGGTATGCGACGTTCACGTCGTTTGTCCAGGGCGATCTTATGGAGAATTATTGCTGGGACGATGATCTAATGAACTTCGCGAGGGTGATGTTCAGTGGAACCATTCTGCTGACATTTCCTATCGAATGTTTCGTCACGAGGGAGGTGAGTCACTGGTTTTCAAATGTCACTTTCAGTCACGCTTTTTATAGACTTTATGCACTATTCACAACATGTGCACATTGCGTCAAATATTATTCTTTCCGATGAAGGTCTCTTTACAGTTTCTTTATCCTTCTTTCACTTCGGAAGTAGCAAATATTTTCTCGCAAGATTCCCTCGACAATGTTTAATAATATTGACGCTGGAACTATCGGGCTGCTAGATCAAAATGACTTATCGCGGATTGCCTTTTTCAATGATTGAAAATACATCACAGATTCTTTTATACGATATTACACATGTTTATAATGTGATTTATAATTTTACATTTTATAATTTAATAATGCGTATTCTACAGTATTTAACACCCTTTGCACTCCGGAAGTGTTTCACTAGATATATTCATTTTCTTATGAAACAGACGATCAAGGAGCGAAGATCTTTTTGTCTCGATAATTCACGTACTAACGCGTCATACGAAGCTTAATATTAAATATTACATTAGAATAAATACACGCCAGCAATTTGCCTAGAAAACTACATAAAAGTCACTTTCTTAAATTTCTAAAAATATCGAAATTATCAATGAGTCAATCAATTTCCAACTATACGGCAATTCCATTTACCAAACTAATTTAACGAACTA